ATATAAATATATAGATAAATAAAATGTTTCCTAGCTGAAACTACTGTACCAGTAGTTACTTACGAAACTACTAGTAGTTTCTACCCTACGCTGTATCCTACACTGACAGAATAACTGAAGTGAAAAAGGCACTCTGGGCCATACTGCATTAGAGTGAGCAGTTGCAATGATGGATATTAGTGGCTCATTTGAAGGGAAAGTTAAACTAGACACAAGGTCAGAGATCCTCATTGCAGTCGTCTTCTAAAGCATGAATGCCTGCAATTCTGAGACCCTTTCCAGATAGGAATTCAATTAAAGTGTATTCTGCACTTTTGCATTGTACCTCCACTGTTCGTTTTGATGTGCTCTTGTCCTGGCTTCCTCTTCCTGCTTTTGTTTAAATTCCATTAATTCAGCCTGGGAATGATAAAAGTGGGGAAAACAAAAAAAAAAACAAACAAAACAACAAACTTACTTTTAATTAACACACCTATGTTGCAAATCCAATTAATTCCACATAGTATTAACTTCCGCTAGAGCCACGTCATTCCCAGAACTTCTCTTAACAGCATTTTATTTATGTGACAGCACTATGTTAAAAACTGAGCTCATTTTTCTGTTCAGCGTTGCACTGGATGAGGTTTGTTTGTGCCTTAAAAAGTGGGAAGTTACAGGATTCAGACATTTACAGTCCTGCATTTAAAGGGGTATGCCAGACACCAGTCCGCTTCCCTTTGCCCCAACCCACGGGTTTGTGGGTCCAAGGGGGAAGACAGCTGAAGTCATCTAGCAGCAGCAGACATGGTCGTCGCACCCGTAGGGTACAAATGAGACATGCCCTTCGCCTCCTGCCTCCATAGCGCGCGAGGAGAGGATGAGAACGGGGTATGTGGCCTCGTGTGTCACCTCCAGCTCCCTGGAGCTCTCCCAAGGGTGAGGGAAAGGCAAATGGTACCTGTTAGTGTGGTGAAAGCGTGTGCATTGCAGCAGCCTACCATCCTTACACTACGTAATATTAAAACATATAAACAGTGTCAAAGGGAATTCTTTTCAGAGGAGAGTTTGCTCATGCAATTTTAGCCAGGACTGCGAAGCAAACACAGCTTGTGTGACTCTGCTCTGCATGTGTGCTTGTTTGTCTGGCTCTTGCTCCCTGCAATGCACCCAAGAATTGAAGATGCAGATTTTTCTGCAAAGAAAATTTGCCTTGCAGGGCGAGGGGGAAGGAATAGGAACAGACCCATCTTTCATATTTTCCATAGCAACTGAGCAGCAGTAGGAATAGGATCTAGAATAAAATTATGCAGTTAGATAAAAGCTTCAATAACTGAATGGAACCACAAAAGTTTTTTAAAAAATCAATTTAAGTGGAACATTAAATAAAAACTATGCAATAAATGTATGAAGAAAATCAATAACTGCAAATGTGTTGTGTATCAATATTTGTCTAGCCCTAAAAGAAGAAACAGGATTAAGAAATAAAAAAGCCAACTTTAATTTTCACTGTTTTAAATAACTATTCAACCTGAAAATTAAACCCCAGTATCTGACTTTCCAATATGCTGAGTCCTCTCTTGGAGTAATGTTCTGAAATATATTGTGTGTGTATGATGCAGTGTTCAAAGCGCACTGAAAATTTCTAAATCAAGCAATACATACTAAAACCTGTTCTGGAAAAAAAAAGGGAACTGACAATACCTATACATTTTATAGCTACGCTGTGCTAGGAAGTACACACAAGACAGAATTCACAATTACTTTAATAAATATTAGTTTGAAGTAGAAATGAGCCAACATATATCTGAGGGACAATTATTGGAGCCTTTAAAATACATATTATTTACAGTAGGTTTGTAAGTAGTGCATTACTCTGTGCAATAGGTAGCAGCAACTGTGAAGGCAAGGAGCACTTGGAACCATGTACCAAGCAAGAGCAGCATTAGAAGCAGCCAACACCTTCTCAGCAATCTGTAGAAACTGGTAAAGAGTCTAAAGCTCTACATGAGTCCCTCAATCCAAACTCATAAAGTAGGAGCATGCTAATTCACATCTGTAGTTATTTTCTCTGTGGAAGAATCGATGTAAAGAATACAACAGCTACCAGCCTTACACGCATCAGGACTGGCTTTCAAAAATTTTTCCTCTGTATAGTTCCTGGGAATAAGTGTACACCTGATGGGAAAGCAACTAAGAGCCTCCCTTTTTCCCCACCTTTTGTTTCCAGCATCCTGGTTGCTAGAATACTATGAACTGAGCACACTTATCCCCAACATTTAAAGAACGATATCCATGAGAGGGGCTGAGTCACTTGTCCAGCTCTAGTAGAAACTCACTGCGTGGAATTTATTGCGCTAAGATTCTGCTACTGTGGAAGTAGTTTACCTTAATTTGGATGTTAGTATCAGCAGTGGCATAGCAAGAGGTTCAGTATTTGCTAATATGTTTTCGAATTATTTGCTAGCATGATTTTCAAATGCCACCCTCCCCATACTTGCACAGTCAGACCTGGAGCCAGGACAGGTAACAGCACAGTGCCATTGCCTTGTGTAGATGAACTTTATGTGGATATGGTACCCAAATCTATGCCAGAGGGACTACAGTGGTTCAGATGCGTTTCAGGCAATGCGTTCTGCGTATGCAGAAAATAGAGTTTAAACTTGCAGTTATGGCATTACTGCTTTTTAGACAGTTCAAAACTCTTCATTTAGGTGGTTAGCAAGGGAACAGAGAAGCATACAGACTTAACAGCAAATCTGAGTTCTTCCACATCCCCATTTTGGAAGGCAGGGCACATGGGCCTCGGTTCTCTAGAGAGACTATTCAGAGTCTGAGATCATCATCAATATCTCAGTAAGATTACTTCTGCCTGAAAGAGAGGAAATTGGTTTCCTTAGCCTATGAGATCATGGGCCATGGTCATAAAATGCTCTGCACAATTGTTCAAATGGAGAGGTAAACAGGAACTAGTCATCCAGATGCAAATAGCCTTGAACACAGAAGATAATTGTCCTGTCCCTGTCCAAATTTTACAGCTTGGCTCATATCTCTCACAACATTTGAAAACAGTGACTGAATCACTTTTGCTAAAGAGAAGCTCTGTGCGTAGGCTACAAGTAATCAATGTATTTAATTGGTTTCACAGCATGCAAAAATGATACAATATGCAAACTGTTAATGTATAATTACCTTCCTCCGTTGTTCTTGCTTCATTTCCTCTAATCTTCTATTTTCATCCTCTCGAAGAGCTTGCTTATAAGTATGGCTTCTCATCTATTGTTCAGCAGAGAATATAAACATATTGGTGTGGGGAGAGGGGGAGCCAAAATCCCAAACCTTATTCTCAAATTGTTATACAGGTAACTAACAAAAGAGAAACGGTTGAATGATTCCAGTTACTTGAAAAACAGATTAGTCTGAAGAGTAGAATTTAAACAAGAAGTGGTCTAAAGCCTCTCAGTCATTCGGTTTGGCTAAATGTCCACCTGCACATCACAACTAGGCAGCCACAGCACATGCTATTCCGTGTCTCAGTGGCAAGCACAAAGATACCCTGAGCAGCCAGAAAACACAATCAGGATATATGATAGTGAGATGGGGTATTCTGGCAAGAAAGGAAAGTACTGAAAATAGTATCAAGATAACAAAGCAGAATGAAGGCCTGGTAACAGAGGGGAACCCAGGATTATTTGTGGAAAGGCATTTCTGGGGGTAGGGCAACAGAAGCTGGAGAACAAGTCTGCTATATTATTTGTAGAGTAGCCAAGAGAACTGAAAATCTGAACTACACATCATGAATCATGTATTCAACTGTGTAGTAGGCTTTCATTACAATAACTAGTCCTGGTCTTTCACAAGTTGTAGTTGTTAGCAAAGAGCCAGCCTACCATTAGGATCTTATAGGATCCTTAAGATCTTACACATAGGAACTTATACTGTAAAGTCTTTGAGCAGGGACATTGTGTAGCACACTAAATAAAGAGCCAGTATAATTTAATACAAGAAGTGTGCAGGTTTGACTTTAGTGAGGAATTTGTTGCAGGTCTACACAATGTTCTCAAAACTTGATATATGCATGCAGAATGAACAACAGGCACATAATTTCCTAAAAGACTGAATAGAGAAAGCAATTATTAACAGCTCAATTTTGAGCTGGGAGGAGTTGTTACATGTGTCCAGGGAGACTCATTCTGGGTCCAATATTATTCATTACTCTCCATAATGGCTCAGAGAATTGTGTGGAGTGTATGTTAATCAAGTTGGAAGACAATAAAAATCTACACAGGATTGGTAACACTTTGAAAGACGGGATTAAAATTAATTACGAGCTTGATTAAATAAGCGGGCCAAAAAAGTCACCAATGACAGAGTCACTCCAAAGAAGTTAAATTTTTTCATGAACATCAATATTTGACACTGATATTTGAACTATGTGTGCTAAATTAATAACACTATCAAAGAAATTATGTGAGGGAAAAATTTGATCAACATTACACTGTCCCAAACTTTTTTTACAACAGGAATTTTAAATTTAAAAAATAACGTATATATATGCCCCCCTTTTAGTATGCATGCCAGGCACTTCCTAAGCTTATCACACTTCACTATTTCAAATACACTGTTCCTGAATCTTTTAATTACTCCAGACAAAGGACAGGTCCAAGATAACATTAAAATTAGAGTTCAAGTTTTCCCACTGGTTTAGCATTTTGGTACTATGCCAAGTTTATTTAGATAACAACTCATTGGTTATGTGCTTCGGAGTCCTCACACAGAGCACAGAGGCTGTGTGTATTCCTACAGACTGTACCTCATCCAAGTTGGTTGGGAAGATATTTTGCTAACTGGATTGCTGCATTATAAGTGATGAATTGATTCACAAAGCTATAGAAATACTGCCATTCAAAAGACATGTAAAATATCAGCTAGTATTAAAGAATAGTACAGATAAACTACATATTTTATCTGCTTGGACACTAGTGAAGCCAAAGATGAACTATGGTATGTAATTTGACAGAACTTATTAAGAAACCCCTCAAAAACTGGAATGAGAAAGGCACACATAGGTAGGTGAAGTAGAAGGCAAAGGCTAAAAGTAGGACCTGCCCACCTGAAAGAATTCAGTGTTCCTTCAGGCATCCACCTGCTTCTGTATAGATATGAAGACACCACACCAAATCCAAGTCAGTCCTGGGGACATGAGCTCATCTGTCTTCAACGTTCACACCATACAAAAGGCTGAAGAGCTGGGTCTTCCCTACCAAAGAACAAGCTCCCCACTGTTTGGAGTGTAGGATGCTTCAAGAAGGAGGTAGAAGTGTTCTCAAGACATCTTTTCTCCCTTCCCATAGTCCTTCATCTTGCTTGTCCACCCAGGACTACAAAAAACAGTCTGAAAGCCACCCTCCTGCAACTGACCTTCTGCCCAGCAAGTTGGCTCCTTCAAGCTATATATCTGCCCACATATGCTAAGATTTCTTTATGGTTTTCAGAGATACAAAATAACCTGAGGAATCAAAAGGGAAAGGAACCTATTTTCAATATCACCTTCCATTTTCATGCAATGAAAACCAGGAAGAGATACTAGAGGCAAGACAGAGCTGTCATATGTTCTGTTTCCAGCAATTTCTATAGTGGGAGGGTCTTGCACATTTCCAAGACTTCTGAGGAAATATGGAGGTAAATTTTTCCCTCCCTTTACTGAGCTGTTTGTGTTCAAGGTTGTGTACCACAGAGGGCTGCCCAGATTGGATGCTTTCAAGTTTCTGCTGACTAAGGACTATCGCTTGCAATGACAATTTCTGTCCACTTGGCTGCCTGCTTTCTGCCTTCCCCCAATTACAAACCTTTCTAAAGGAGAAATACTTCTGTCTCAGGGTTAATATTTCTCACTGCAAGCTTTTACATCAGTAAGAAAGCTTAGTTTAGACACAAAGAGACTAATCATATGTGAAAAAGCTTTTTTGAGGCAATTAGAATAATGAAACTTAAGCAATACTTTACCTATTTCCAAATTACATTGATATTTACCAGGCTCATTCAAACTGGGACAAAGTCCCCAAGCAGTCTATGGAATCACTTTTCGGATGCAGTGAGAAATAAGCTTCTCTTCTGACTAGATTTTCAATGCAGTAAAGCATCCACTGACATGAACTAGTTGAGATTTCATAAAAGCTTGCTACCAACAGGCAGGTACAGAGCACATTTAAGATTCTGATCTGACCTTAGAATATAAATCTGGCTCTCCTTTATCAGGGAGAGATCTGTGAGTAATAAAGGTAGTTCCCTACTATGTAGAATACTCTGCCAGTGTGTAAGAGACAATGTAGGCAATCTCATTTACCCAGAAAGACTCCTTGGTACTCACTGAGTTATGTCTAGGCAATTAAGCTCAATTAGAATATTCTAATATTACACTATTGACAGCGCCTGGAAAGCTGACAGAAAATATAGCACATGCCATGGTTTTGCTTACCCATGCTGTAGATCCTGGGCCACGATTAGCAATCTGACAGGAATCACTCTTTGGCAAACCCAAGTCCAATCTGTTCAGTAATTCATTGGTTTTGCTGTGAAGAAATCCAATCCAAATAGAATTGTTAGTGCTTCCATAAAAATAAATACAGCTTTTTATTCCACCCTTGGAATCTAGCCTAGACATTTTATCATGTGACTGCTGAAAAACATCACAGGTGGAACAAAAGGTTATGGAGACAGACAGAATGAAATGGGATAGAGCATACAGAACCTATATTGCAGATAAGACATTTGCTGGGAGAAATTTTTAAGCAAACAATTATTGTCATTTGCATATTTGGGGTCTACAGTGGGTATGCTTTCCTTCCTCATTGTAAAGCTCCTAAAACACAGGCTCGCATGCCATTGGACTTCATCAGGATGCAACTGCTTCACTGAATTGTTGCAAATCCTTCTGCCAGGTCTATAAGTCTCAGATAAGTAATTTAAAAGATTATTTTAAGGAATTTTCCTTCATGGTTAATACAATGCAGCCTTACAACAGATTACTTAATCAAGCAGAAAGACTTTGCAGCATTTTGTAGCATTGAAAAAAAATGCTTGTCTTCAGTTGAAGCAGAATTGCACAACATTGTCATTTCTTATTCTGGAAAGGGCATTTTTATTTTTCCAATAGCATCCCTCATAAACCAGATTTTCAAAGTAGCATCACTTTGCTCACAGTTTCAACCAAGTACAGTTAAACAAAGTCACAAGCAACAACATAAACAAATGTTAAGAATAGGAGTTTCAGTGCTGTGGTCAGGAATTAGTTTCCTAACCTGCAGTCCCAGGCATATCTATTCAAGTCTTTGCTTACTCAAAGGAATAGAGTCAGAGGAAAGAGGCAATTTTATTTCTGTATACAGCTTTGCAAAGCATGAAAGTACTGAAGTGAGAGCAGGAAGAGTGCTTCAAGAGGCATTCAACACAAAGATTTCCACTGCTAACAGGGCAACCAGCTAGCTCTGTGGGGGAGAAGATGCCACTACCAAAGACAGCTACTTAACTTGGAGAAAAAGCCTTGGCTGCTGAAGAGTGATGATGACTAACTGCTGAAACAGACTACCAAGTGTGTTTTTATCTTTCACTCCATGATCTGAAACAGTGAAAAGATGCATTTTTGGAAAATGTCCTGCTGGTCAGTGGGTATATTGAGGAGAAGTGGGGAAAAAGAACAAGAACCCACAAGTTCTTCTCTGCTATTCTACACAATACAAAACCATGTTACCACTTCAGGAACAGAGTACTTGCTCAAGCTGTCATAAGCCATGCTTTTAGAGTCTCAGCATTCCCAGTTCACTCCCTTCCCTCCATTACCTGGGCAGTCAACATGGACCCCAGCCAACGCACAATACAGAAAGAACGAAGTGAAACATAAGATTCCCTGATTTACAAAGCACCTGTATATCAAGGTTCAATAAATTAATAGCTTTCTTATCCAAGCGTTAAGCACACACATTTTTTCCATGAAAGATGAATGGTCGAGAGGTGAGATTGTACAGAATAATTTGGGGAACTTTAAGTTTTAAATTGTAGACTTTGTGTTTCTCTACCTATGCTAAAATTGCTAAAATAACAGTTTATTTCTACACCAGAAAGACTAAGAACTCCTACAGAAAGTCTGGAATATATTTGAGAAGGCTGAAGCTCTGCAAAGAAATTCCTGGCAACTTGGGGGTATACCTGGATGTCCTAATTCCTTATGGATAGCAAAAGAATGACATGGAGTATGTGGAAGTTCTCATTATTTGCATAAAAATGGGGTGGAGGGTTAAGACAATGCATTTCGCAGATCAGCACACTGGTAGCTGAAAAGCTAACTCAGTTTCGGTATTGGAAAAGATGATTACAAGAGTGGAAGCAAATAAGGTTTCTCAGCAAGACTGTGCACTGCCTTTGAATACAGAAAACGCCCTACTACACCAAATTAAATAATACATTAAAGTGTCCCTATCACAAGAAAGAGACTCAGGTTTCTGAACCTGACTAAAGACAAACTCAGTCAAGTCAGTCATATATGTTAATTCGTTGTGTGTCATCTCTATGGAAACCCAGCAATGCATCTCGAGTTGCCAGACTGTCAAAATATTGTCTGAATGGTATTTTTCATAATATTAAACCTATAGTCATAACAATGCAGAGCCTCACATAAGCCATGCTGCAGGGAAAGGAGGAAGTCAGAGAGATGACAGTTCAATTAATGTTCCAGAGAGGAAAGCATTATCTCCAGAAGGAAATCAGCATATCAAAGTGTCCATAGGTGTTCCACATTCAGACAGTTCAAGCAACATCTCACTCGCTTGCTAAAACTTCAAGGGCTAATCAAAGATGCTAATAAAATGTGTTCCTCTAAACTAATTAATATTAAAGAAAGAAGAGCTTGAGAAGAAATTAATTTGAATACAGCAGCATCCTGATACCCTTCAAAACTAGCTAGGCAGAAGGAGATCCAAAATTTAGACAAACCAAGATGGCACCCTCCTAACAGGCTGCTAACCTGAGCTCTGACTACCCCTAAGCATCAGGCTGAAGAGAAGAGAGCCATTCAGAAGCACTGGTTAAGCTGGAGTGATCTTATGAAGGTATCTGGTCTTTCTTGGTAGCCCTGTTTCCTATTACACCGTTGGGAACAAACCTTTTGCTCTACTAATTAAAATAGGCTACTCCCATACTGGTACATTTAATAGCACCAGGCAATAGTCTTAGCATGGGAACTCAGCCATCTATATTGTGGTAACAGTTCCTGGAATAGTTTTGACCTGTTCCAAATAGCACTTTCCCAAATAACTCCTGGCTGCTGTCCGGGAATGAGTATCAACCACAGGAAACTCCCAACAGGCACTTTGGATGCAACCACCCCATTTTGGGAGGTAAAAAAGTTTGCTAGCAATGGAAGCAGGCAGTCTCAGGCCTGTTGGCCTCAGAAGTGACAGTGATTGACAGTGTTTAATTTATTAGTACAGATGCAGCCACGGGGGAGTGAAGCACAATACTGGATTTGGGGGCTGAAAAACTCTTAAGAGCTGTCATAGGAAAATACTGACTCTGCTGCCAGGATCATTGACTAAAGTGCTAGGAGGGGACAGTGCATGACTCTGGAAATCAGTCCATGTTGCAGATGCTTTCTGTGAGTCCTCAAATATACGGCTTTTCATTTCACAACTATTCTTCAGGCAGAGTCCTTTCTTAAAAGCTGTTACGTAAAAGCATATACTTGAAGCTCAACAAGTACGTATAAAATGCAGAAACATGAATTTGCTAGGTGTTCCACTGAGAACAGTGTAATAGAGGGATTTAGAGCTGGCACTCTGCACTCACAAGCTACTTGTACATCAGGAAATCCACATCCATTTCTTATTGTTTGGGACTAAATGCATGTGCTGCCCACATTCCCACTGGGGTGAGACAAGGGGGTGGATATAAAAGTTGCAGTGAGACTAGGTTCCTCCGGCCTAGGTAGAAGTTCCCATGCTCTAACAGGGTCACCAGCCTTGACAGCTGAGAAGCAGAAAGCTCCACAGTTGACTCCAGCGTGCAACTATGGAAGTTCTGAAGACCCACAACTGATCTTGTTGCAGGACCAACCTAAGGTCTAAAATCCTGTGCAGAATAACATCAGAATAATTCTGTGTGTGTCGTGGTTTAGCCCCAGCCAGCAACTAAGCACCACGCAGCCGCTTGCTCACTCCCCCTACCCCGATGGGATGGGGGAGAGAATTGGAGGAGTAAGAGTGAGAAACACTCCTGGGCTGAGATAAGAACAGTTTAATAATTGAAATAAAGTAAAATAGTAATGCTAATAGTAACAGTATAATAATGATAATAATAATAATGATACACGAAGCAAGTGATGCACAATGCAATTGCTCACCACCCGCCGACCGATACCCAGACAGTTCCCGAGCAGCGATCGCTGCTCCCCGGCCAACCCCCCCCCAGTTTATATACTGAGCATGACGTCATATGGTATGGAATAGCCCTGTGGTCAGTTTGGATCAACTATTCTGGCTGTGCCCCCTCCCAGTTTCTTGTGTGCCTGGCAGAGCATGGGAAGCTGAAAAAGTCCTTGACTAGCATAAGCAGTACTCAGCAACAACTAAAAACATCAGCATGTTATCAACATTCTTCTCCTACTAAATCCAAAACACAGCACTATGCCTGCTGCTAGGAAGAAAATTAACTCTATCCCAGCCGAAACCAGGACAGTGTGTCATTTGGTCTTAACTCCTGTCACATCTACAAGGCAAACAGAAGAACCAGTTCTGAAAAGGATTCATCCTTAGGGACATGAATAAGGATATGGACTCTGGCCCCAGCATCTTCCTCCACCCAAGAGTCGCACAGCACCACTTGCTAAGCTTTTCATTTGAGACTGTATTCCTCTCAGAACAAAGAAGTAAAGAAAATAATTTTTCTGCCTACACATGAAGTTCTTGGCTTTAACTCTGTTTTACAGACTAACATTAAAAATGCATCAATTAAAAAGTCTTCTTGTAATCTTCGTTAGTCCTTCCCAATGAAACCAGTGGCAGTTAATTATTTTGCTTTAATTGATGGATATTGAAATGCCAGGATACAGAGAAATATAACAGCTGTTATGCCACTGCTTTTGCAAAAAAAGCAGCACAATACTTTTGCATATATCATAAATGTATTTATTTCTCTTGACAATTTTAAAAAGATAATGGCCACTCTTATTACTACTGAAAACAAGACAGCTCCTAAACTCCTTGTTTTCTCAAGCTGCAGGATCTCCAGCATTATAATTCTGCTCTAATGAACATCCACAAGTATCCTAAGAGCCATTCAAAAACAGTAATAAAAAGTAAAAATAAAGAATCGCAAGCCAGGTAAATCATTATAGCCATTTCAGAGAGGAGACAACATGAGTAGTCGCTAAGACAACAGAAGCAGCATCTAGTGCTGAATGACATGGACACATCAGCTTCCAAATTCATTGCCAGTAAGCAATGCTAAAGTGATATTTCACCATTTTCTTCCAATTCAGCTGAAAAACTAAGAACCATGTATAATGCATACATAATATTAG